GAGGTGGGGGGGGGGGGGGGTATCCTAGAATTGTTGATGTATAACTAGCAATCAGAAATTGCAAGAGAAGTAAATATAATGATAGAAAGCAGGTTCCAAAAAACTCCCGTCATACAAAATCTGTGATTTTTGTCATAATCAAAATACTGCCCTTGAGGTTACAAAATCCATACATGGAGACACTTAGTGAACATGTCAGCTAATGAGCAAACAGAAAGTGAATTTGATGTAAAGAAATTGACGAGTAAACTGAGATATGAGTATTTTTTTCGAGTGGGAATTCTGTTGATTTCAGTTTAATCCAATAATTGTCCTTGAGGTTAGACAAACACACAAGCAATTCAATTTGCTTTGTACATTTATTATATGTATGTCAAATGACACAAGCAAACAGTTTAGACATGTAACCAAATATAACATAGTGAAAGTATGTTACAGTTGTAACATACCTGAACATTTTGGTATGTCCCAAACTGCAATAGATGTGGGCGTGCATCGAGGATCACACAATGCCCTGTTATTTTCGTGATGGACATTCATAGCAAGCATCCAAGATCCGATTGTGACGTCTTCATTGTTGAACATTCTCAAGCTGAACATCAAAAGCATACAAATTGAATCATGTAAAAACGAGGATGCGAATACGCAGATTGAATGATCCTAACAGCACATTAGTGGTGTGCTTAGCTAAGCTTAGAGAGAGAAGTTAATTTCTTTAACTCAAACAAAAGAAAGACTTTGTACTTAAAATCCAAAAAAAAAAAAGAAAAAGTGCGACTTCTAAAAAACCCTAAACATGTTTGGCAAAAAAAAAAATGTTAATTAAAAGGTAACTTCTACACTTAGGCAAAAATGCTTTGATGGCATAAGTCATAAAAAATATGACGTATCTCTCTCCCTTCTCCCAAACCCTCCAACCCGAAATGTAGGAAGATCTTACAAATGCAGTCACACTTAAAGTAACCAGACAGATTCTGATAATTTAGTTCGATGGAGATATTAGCAATTCCATCACTTACAGAATTGAATGATTAATGTGGGAAAAAAAGGCACATTCCATCACCACATTATCTATAAGAGAGCAAAATATATGTCAAACAAAAGTTCTAAATGTCAAAAAAGAGAACAGCAGAAACTGAAGATGGTGACTCAAATAGAAAATAACAATGGGGAAAGTAAGTTTGTTTCTTATAGTTTAAAAGAGAGCCAACAACTGAGAGAACACATATAGCTTCCATAATTTTATTGTGATACTTCTAGGGGGTCCAAAATGTACTGGGCTCCAGGCATGCCCTAGGCGTGGACTGGATGTAAGGACCTGCAGCCTACGTGGCGGGCCTATATCTTTTCGAACAAAAAATAAACACATGCAAACGAAAAATTTTATGGGGCTGTAGGACCGGACCCAGCCTGCTTAAAAAGAGTCCAGTATGGATCACCTCAAAAGGAGGCTGGCAGATCCTCTTTACACCTATGGATACATGCTTGAACAGCAAAGCAGTTTTTGTGAATAGCTCAACTAGGTAATTGAGAACACAACCTTTAAGAAGGGTTGAATTATTTTATTCTAGATTACTTGAAAGCATAATATAAAATAGTTTGATTAAAGAGAATGGAAACATTTGTCCTCAATTCCACATTTGTGTTCATTTTGCACCAAAATTTAGACACGTCTATCGGTTACAATAATAGACAGCCTCCAGTCCACAAGAAGCCACAATCCATCATTCAGTTACAATGTCCCTACTCAGTAATGGAAGCTGTATGAATTACCTGAAAGCAAGTGGACTTGGCAAACGACGCTAGTATAATCACTGCATATCTGAACAATGGATTATGGAATAGGCTGAGATGACAAATCAGAAGGATGGAGAAACAGGATTCTAATGGCCTATACCAAATTGTCTAATCATATATATAAAGTACTTGTATGGGGCCATTTTTGTCTGACATGGGGAGAGAACGTGAGGAAATGTTTGTACACTTTATCTCCAATATCGTGAAAACCAATAATTTCTGTAATTCTTGTCTCTGACTGTTTTGCTTAAAATTGCTTTCCTAATTGAGATTAGGTTTTAATCCCTAGCGGAAATAAGGAATTGTTGAGTTGATTTTTACCATAAAAGCACTATAGGTGAAAGAAAAATGAATGCTAGCGGAAATAAGGAATTGTTGAGTTCATTTTTACCATAAAAGCACTATAGGTGAAAGAAAAATGAATGCACGCATCTATAGAGCATAAAATCAATAAATAGACAAACCTGTTGTTCCTAGCAATTGCCAGTGATGCCACCACCTCTGCAGAAAGAACATAGATAGGACCATAAGCATGTGAGAAGTATTCATTTCCGATTAGATGTCCAGATTTCTCATACCTGAAATTTTGTTTTTTATGTTAGACGACTTTAGGTAAATTGTAGTCAAGATGATCCACAACTTTTATGTCCAGTACTAGTAGAGAGCTAGTCATAGAAATGAAAACTTGCAGATATATTTACCACTTCATTTTTGGGTCAGTAATGACTGGTCCTTTCTTCATACAGCCAATGTATGTCCTTGGATCGGTTCTCTCTTTTGCCAGAAGAGTTGCTAGTCGATCTGAAATTAACAATATTTTAGCATTGAAGCACAAAAACACCAAATTCCAGGCAACAGATATAGTGTAGAAATATTTCACCAGGGCGCAAATAAATGTCATCATCGGCTTTAACATAATAATCTGCTTCAAACAGCTTAAAAGCAGCTTTAAAAAATACCAACCTGCATTAAAAAATTAGCATCATTACATAAGCACGAGCAATCCAAATATCAGTTAACCAAAAAAAAAAAAAAAAAAAAAAGTCGAAGCTTGATCTTACGTCTTGTGTGGAAGTTTTGAGTATTCTTCCTCAACATCTATAATCATAAAATCCCTGTACTTCTCAATTTCTTTCTCGAGATTTTCCATCCTCTTCGCATCTTTAGACCGTCCAATTACAAATCTAAAGGCCAGACCAGTAGCCTGCTCCAACCTATACAAATTAGAAACATAATAAGAAAATATCGTCAATGTTTTTGGAAGAGACATGAGAGTAAAGCCATTCAAATTTGGACTCTGAAATTTAATTATCCCAAATTGATTCTGGTTCAAATCAGAGCACATCAGAGTACAGAACCGTGTCTCATATCACAGTTTGAACAGCAATTTATTATTGGAAATGGAAAATGAGAAACTTATAGATACAATCCATGAAATTCATGCTCAATTCTCTATCATCGCAAATTATTTTCTGGGAAAAAGAGCTTCCTTCAACCCCAATAAAAGATCAGATTCAACCATAACACTAATTGGGTGACAGAGTTTTTATCCCCCATTTTCACCAAATAATTTCATCAAAATTTAAGAACAAGAATATATAAATATATTGTTTATTTTCTCTATTTTTGGGTAACGAGTAAGAAAGAACAGAAGACATTCATTATTTCTCAAGAAAGACTGATCAGATCTCCCCAACTCACTAGATCCTGAATCCATTTCTTATTCTGCATAAGATGAATTTTCCCACAAATAAACACTACCAAGCTTCTCAAGTTTCACATTGAATTTCATCCACCAAAACAAGATTAGATTTTCAACACGTCTGGCTTTCGTGAAAGTGAGGTAAACTTATTTTCAAGTTAATTATTTTGTCAAATGTAAATTTGGAAATATTTTTTACTAACAAAACTTATTTTTGTACTTTTAAGCACCGACAAACACGTTCGTTCAATATTTAATTGTGAATTCCACATTCATGGCCACTCATCATTTTCATTGACTATTTACATTGCTGCTACTAATTGATACTATATTGTTCTACGAATTTAAGTCATACAACACAAAACAACAATACCAGATGATGGAGGAAAAAAAAAAAAGAAGCATTTTCAGACATTTAATTAATGAATATTACCTGAGAAGATTCTCAGGATCAGAAGGGAACCAAGTACTCCTCAAAGCCTTGCGGCGATCGCCGGAGGAGAACCCGGTTTGGATTCCGACGAACCCATGGACTTTTGGCCGGTCAGCGACGCCGGAGTCTCCGGCTGCTGCGCCACCAAGTTGGCCTGAGTAGAATGCGCGAAAGGTGTCCTCGATGCGGCCGCAGCGGAAGACGGGGGTGGGTCTGGGGCGGAGGACTGCGAGGAAAAAGAATACGACTCCGGCGACACCTATGAGAAGGCAGAGGGCTGAAATGACACAAATAGGCAGGGGAGTGTGCGGTGGGAGTGATAAAGTCAGGGGCTTTTTGGTCTTTACTGACTTGGAATACTGGTGGTCAGCCGTGGCTGTTGGGTGGTGGTCAGATGTGGTGACTGGAAGGTGACTGTGAAAGAGTGCGCGTGGCATTTTGGTGAATTAGGCGTATGTGAAATTATAACTTGTAAGTCAATCATATGTTAATCTTATGATCTATAGTCCATAGATCATATGAGGCAAAAGGTGATGTGTAGTTTTTACTGTGCACACCAAGAAGATTGGGATTTTCCAACACCTCTAACTTTAACATAAAGGCTTGTCCCTTAATCCCACAACAAATCTTACATTTTTTTTTCTAGTACTTATATTCAACATCTTTGGTCGAACTTGTAAGCTCGATTATCATCATCTTAGATCTCTTGTAAAATATAATATCCACAAATTTGGTAGGGATTATAATCTAAGTCAAAAATCATCAATTAATTTTAAACATATATTTCATGGCCCACAACTTTACATTTCATCAACTCTTATTAAAATCTATTAAAAATCTTATTTTAATCCCACCAAACAGGAGCATAATTCATCTTGATCGATTTTGTATGTCCTCATAACGTTGAAAATTCTGCTAATTAACTTGCACAAAGGAGCTGGAAACCTTCTCAGTCGGAACGCCCATCACATTAGATGCTTTTACTAGGAAAAACATCACAGGAAGAGTCAAAATAACCTTAAATACAACACAATTTCTCGTGATAATCTCTAGCCTCTATTAATCTAACAGCAAAAAGAAACGACGTCTAAACGAGACTAGTCAAGCCCACAAGGCAAGAGAAGACATCAGTCCCGCCCCAATGAAGAGTGCAAAATAAGACACTATTTGGAGCTTCAAGTTGCAGCTCATCCTCTTACTCAGGAAATCAGCTGCAATCAAATCCACAAGAGCCATGTATACAAGAATTCCAGCAGATATTGAATCAAAAATGCCCTCAATTACCAGAGCTCTCGGGCTATTAGGATTGTAAATCGAAGAAATGCCAGTTCCAACAGCTATTCCCAATGGGGTCGTTAAGGCAAAAAAGCATGCCATAAGGGTTGCACGAAGGCTCGTAAATTTGGCCTGTGAAATGCATCCTCCTAGAGCAAACCCTTCAAAGAACTGATGGAATGATAATGCTCCGATCAAGGGTCTTATTGTACATGGATTGCGCGAGACTCCTAGAGAGAGTCCGATGATCACGGAGTGTGATACTATTCCGAGTTCCAGAACCTGTAATGAAGAAGAATAGACGTTACAAGTCCATTATTCTAATCATAACGTGGAAAACAATGGGGTGAATAGGGGTGGAGATAGCATCGAGCAGCACCATCTGACCTAAATAGGGAATGAAAGACGATATTTGGAACAGAAAACGACAAACAATCAAACAAATAAACAATCCAATTAAAAGACCTATTCCTAGCAAACTTTGAGCTGGCAATATGAAGCTTATTTTGCTACTTCGTTCAGTCAATCACCAAATGCACTGGAAGATATGATGCAATCGGATCCTATACAACAAGCCATATTAATTTTGGTTTGTGATGAATCGCATCAAGGTCAATTTTTTTGAAACTTTGACATCCACCTGCTCTTTTTGCCCAGCATTCTTTTCCTGTGGCACTTGCAAATCATGGACTCCTATTAACCCATTGTTAATACTTTATTCTATCTCAGCTTCCAGCAAGAAAGGCATTGAAGGGCTCAGAAAGTTAATCATAATTTCTTGTACTACATAAAAATGTGTGTTAGAGATCCTTGTGTTCGTGTAAATTTCGCCTCTTATGTATATCCAATTTCGATATTAGGAAGAATACATGGTTTCTTCACCATTTGAATACTCAGATACTATTCGTTTGAATATTAGCATACATTCTTTTCAAACAAGGGATGCACTAATGTAAAGATTAAAACGAGAACTCTAGATTCTTACCTGAAAATTACATGTCCAGGTCATCAAAAGAATATGTGCTGAAAAGGAAGTGAACAAGAAGCCAAAGTTCAAACATTGAAGTGTCTTTTAGGTTCAATTGAGGAGATAAAAAAGAAGTTATACAATTCAATCATTCGAATGGTCTCCCACAAAAGTGCCCTTCTCCAATTGAACCAAGCCTCAATTTTATTACAACAGAATGTGTTGATTTATTACTAAGACAGAACTAATGACCACAAATGTTAAAGGGTTGCCAAGATTATATCTAGGACATGACGACTGCCCCAAAAAAAGGAATATATTCACCTGTGAAACAACAATGTGCCTGAGACCACCTTCCTCATCCCAACCACTGATCGCATGTGAATGTGAATGACCGTGTGCATGTTCCTTTACGCGCCCTTCGCATGCCCCCTCTTCTTGTCGGTGGCTGTGTCTATGGTGTGCCGCATGTGCACGCATCCCCACAATATGCATTGCACCCCCTTCCTCTTCCCCAAACACCTTTGCACTCCCCCTCTTTTTCTCTACTGGAACAATCCCAAATTCGGACACCATGTCCGATGAATCAAACTCAACATTAGGACTCTCATTCTCCTGTTTCCTCTCATAGTACTGAGTCCCCAGAAAATCAACCAGCAATGTAGCCAAAGAGGCAATCATTGCAACAAACCCAGAAAATGGAAATTTTGACCACGGGAATTTTGGGAGACAAGAATTTGTCAGTGCAGATGTGGCATCCGGTAACATGTGGACAAAGCCAGTGGCAAGAATGACACCAGCAGCAAAGGCTTTTGCAGCAACAAAGAGGTTCGAGTCTGTTTGGAGGAACCGGCGCTTCTTACCAACCAATGGAATGGCAACACCACAAATTCCAGCAATGAGAATGACAGCGATTGCCACCATTTTAAAGATGAGAGCAAAGGAGTCATTGTGACATCCCTCAGAATATTCATCAGCACTGCCACAAGTGGAGTTTGACATGGATTGAGAAAGATTCTGAAGAAAGGAGTCTGTACAAACTCGGAAACAAAGCAAATTCCAGAAAATTAGAGCTTTTAAATTTTACCGATTGCTTGAAGGATAATTCAAGAAAATGTGCACTAAACAGACTATTTTTTTCCCCATAAGGCAGAAAAATTTCATAGATTATGAAAGAATTCAAGAAACACAGCTCATTTATACAGAAATCAGAAAAACCATAAGAGCTGAGTACTCTAATGAGATAGCAAAAACACACCAACAATTTCTTAGTTTCCCTAAACTATGCAGGCAAACAAGCATACTTCTCCACAACATAAAAAATAAAAATAAATAAATAAATAAATAAAATCCTTTGAAAAGGCAAATTAATTTTCATGAGGATTATAAGATAGAATTCCCTTAAGATATTCTAGATTGGTAAAAAAGGAAATGCCAGATGATAATCAATCTACAAAGAACCTTAATAAGGGATCTTGAATCTGATTACAAATATGGGAATATAATTGACAAAAGAATGATACAATCAAAAGCAACATGAAACTTTTCTTGCACATACAAAGATCGAAACATGTGATAGAACAATCAATCACGCATGAACAAAAATAAACTCGAATTAATCTAGATGCATATTCCTAGATGAAAATGTGTGAATTGTCAAAATCTGTGACATTATTTGTTTATAGTGTTGTTAATATCAATGTATAAAAAACTCTCAACTCACAAAAATGTCATCCATGATGTCAAAACTAATGTACATGGAGCAAGATTAAATAAACTCACACATTATCACAATGCTTCGTTCTATCAGTACAATTAGATACTCTGCAATTTATCGATTGGACACCATACAACAAAACTCTTACATTACAGAAATACGTAAAATTCTCGACAAATAGCAAACCAGATCAAGCAAAACCTACTATTCAGAATTCAATCTTTTTTCCCTTTTGCAAAAAGAAATAGGACATCAAAAGGGCTCTTGTAATTAATTTCACCTGAATAAACCCCAACTTTTTCTCCAATTTCCCCGAACCAAAGCCCTGGAAAGAGATTCTGTTCAATAATTCCCAAATTAATCCAATTAAAAAGGCATCAAATCGTAACTTTCTAGAGAAAGAGTAGCCAAAAAGAACAAAAAAAAAAAAAAAACGATTTGCTTCAGATTAGTATAGACAAAAATGAAACCTCAAAGAATGACATTAGCAGGAACCAAGAAGTGAATCGTATTCTTTTTAGGAGCCTTTCTATTCAATTACTCTAGCTCTCAAACAACACGAATCTCCGAATTACACATATATATCATAGAAGTGTATGGATACGTAACTACAATTGAAAATGGAGAGAGAGATAGAGTGAGATGTCGACATAATTTTCAAACGTGTCAATGGAGAGAGAGAGATGTCGACATATTTCCAGAGAAAGTGGCAAGGTAGCCTATTATTCCAAGTTGTGACGAGAGCAAGTGGCAAGGTAGCCTATTATTCCAAGTTGTGATTTTGAAGGATATGTGACTGAAAAAAAGATATATGTATAGTATTATTTTATTGTAGAATGTATAGTAGATAAAATTAAAGAGAAAATGAATAATAATTTAATAGAAAATAATAGGGATCAAACAGGGGCGTAGTAAAGGAGACAAGGGAATGAAGAACTTTGTTGTGACATCTTATCATTGGGAGAAGTCCAAAAATGCAGTGTTGGCAGCCAATGCGGTGCTGCCAACACTACATTTGACACTTGTACAGAGTGATTAACTATGTACAAATAACAAAATTCATGAACTTGATAATGTGACAATGTTGACACCTTTTGAAGAGTTCCTTTTTGAAAAATATTATTTCTATTCGGCTTATTTATGAATAATAATACGTTTTTATATCTAATTTGAGAAATTTTTGTCAATTTGTTATATATTTTTTTTACCTTTCAATTTGGAAATGCATTAATTATTTGCAAAAGCAATTTTTATTTTTTCCTTGTGTCTATTATTCTTAGCAAATATATATAAATTATAAAGTTCATGTTTGGTTCAATTAAAAATTAAAAATTTGAATAAATTTGTGATTAAAAAATTGATAAAAATTATGAATCCCAAATGAGTTTAAAGAATTGTTAAAGAAAAAAAAATGGTCAAACGTGGGCTAATGAAAAAGTATTAATACTTATAAGGGAATAAATAATTTAAGGCCTCGTTTGGTATCCATTTTTTTCAAAATGTATTTTTCTCTCTTCTTTTCAACCACACATTCTTTATTAAAATAATATTATACGTAAATAAAAATTTTTTCTTATTTTTCAACCACACATTTCTCATCAATTTATTATTCAAAAATGCGTTTCTACATAAAAATGTCTCTCAAACATCCTCTAAATAACACTAGTATGAATGTTATAGTTATCCCTTACATAATTTTTTAATTTATTGTTTTCTATATTGTTGGATTTTGATACCATATAAAACCTTGGATCATGAAGTTAGACGTGAGAATATATTTCACATGCCTCGACCGATGAGTGAAATAATTATCAACAACTAAGTTCAAAGGTTCTACTCAGCCCATTTATATTACTTCTTTGATGACTTTATATCTAGGCTCATTTCACCTTATTATTGGTCCAACTAAAAGCCTGACTTAACCCTACTTATATGAGCTTACACTAGCCATTTTTGAATGTGAGATTTTTGTGTTTGAAAGTTTGAGACGAGAAAACATGGCTGCCATAGAAGGGAAAAATCGGCTGCCTTTGTGGTGCCAAAATTGGTGATTTCCTTTTCACTTCGTGGTCTCTTCCTTGCCTCATTTCGTGGTGTTTTCTTCTTGCCATTGTAGTTATCAATCATCACCATTATCTTATTTTTTGTGGGTAAGATTGAGAAGCCACAAAGTAAATATATTGGTTGTGGATTGGAGCCATTTGGATCGGTTGTTTGGTGAGAAAGGTAATTTGAAATTGAGCTTGAAAAAAATTGATTTGATGATCCTTGGAGCAAGCTTTCCGCGATAATTGATATCAAAGCTTCAAGATGGTGGTTTGGCTTGAAAAACTAACCAAAAATCGACCAGAGAGGCGGTAGAAACGAAGCAGAAAAATAGATCGAAAAGTTGTCCAGAAAAGATGCCCAAAAATCGAGGTTGTTTCGTGATTTTTGGCTAATCCAGAAGAAGTTTGGTAAAATAGAGACCACTAACGTGACGCGCAGGCGACGTAGGTCACAGCGATCAGGCGCGTGGCTACCACGTGCAAAGGGCCCAATTGACAAGTGTTTAAGTAATGTTGTCGAGAAAGAAAGAGATAGCAAGTGGGGAGATAGGAGTGAAATGTGAGGATAATATCTGGGGAAGATATACACACGTGGGGCGTACTTCATTTTTAACTTTTAACTTTTTAATTGAGTTACAAAAACATTTATTAATTAATTCTGATGTACGTATCAAAATACGTTTTTAAGGAAAATGACATAAAATATCTTAATCATTTTCATGTTTTGTGTCAATCCATCCTGATCATCCCAGAATTACCCGGTCTCAACCTCGACCACGTTACCTCGATCTTGTCCCCCCTCAAAACTCCCAGTCTGAGGTCGGGGTACTTAGATTAGGACTCTGTGTCGTCATGAGAGGTCTTTTTGACGACCTATGGGAACACAAATTCTACCCAACCTACAATTCTTACCTAGCTAGACTCCTTTTTCAATTCAAACAATGGTTGAATACTTGGAATAAAACACTAACTCCTTATCCTACAAGGGTAAGGATCACACATGGCTAAGTCTTTCTAGGACTGTATCATCGGCACCTATAAATACATAATCCGGGCTTATTCTTGAGGTACGTTTTTCATTATTTCCAGTTTATAGCTTCACGCACTAAGCATCGAATGTGCGACGAGCATACACCTCGTTGCCTTTGTTGCAGCTATTCAAAGATTGTTTGTGCTCATCAAAGTTCAAAATTCGATCATCAAGTTCGAGATCTTTCAGGTACTATTTTTTGGTAGCATCATTGGCGCCGTATATAGGAAGCACTATTAAAAGCCATGGTCAATACACGTTCAGGTCTTCCTCCGGCAAGCTCATCCGTCCCGGATAACCCTTCTCCTCCTGAGGAACGCCATGTCCCTCAAGAAGAATCGTCAAAGATGCCAGCATCTCTTCAAGCTGTTGTTTTCACCGGAGCTTTTGAGGAACTTTGTCAGCAGGTTGCTGCATTAACCCGATTATTAAGCCAAAGAAATTCGTACCCGTCACATACTCCAACACCCGAAGGTGGTTTTATGGCAAATGCCTGAGCTTGAGTTCAACGTACAACTCATGATGATGGTAGGATTGGAACTTCAGGTGCACCGCAAGTGGTTTCAAGTTTGAGGTCCGTCACAATGGACTCCGCTGAACTTGCTAGAATTATTCAAGAAAGGATAGCAGTGGGTATGCAACAAAATACTTGGGCAGCAGCGGGATTTACCCCTAATACGTCGTTCACTCCGAAAGTTCTCTCGTATCCTCTCCCGGATAGGTTCAAGTATCCTCGGATAAAGGAGTACGATGGGACAACCGACCCCATCAATCATCTCAATGCGTACACCAATATCATGAACTTACAGGTTGCACCAGATGCAGTGATATGCAAGACCTTCCCTCAGACCCTCACAAACGCAGCTAGAGATTGGTTTTCCACATTGGAACCCAACTCTATTGCCCACTTCTCAGATTTGGCCGATAAGTTCTCCGCTTTCTTTGCAAGCAGCAAGCGAATTAGAAAGACAGTCGCATCACTCACACAGATGCGTCAAAGACCCAACGAGACACTGAGCAATTTCATGACCAGGGTCAATAAAGAAAGGCTTCAGATGACCAATCTACATATCACTGTCGCAGTCTCATCTTTGACATACGTCGTTAAGTGTGAAGCATTCAAGATGTCTTTGTCTAAGACCCCATCGAAGTCCGTAACCGAGCTACTCACACGAGATGAGAAATATATCAATATGGAAGAAACCATGGCCCCAAAAAGAGAAGTTTCCTCATCAAGAAAGTTGGATCAAAAAAGGCCGCATGAGTCAAGTCTCAGACAAGATGTACCTCGGGTCAAGCCAAGGCAGGGCCCCTCCTCAACATCCTTTACCTGCTTGAACACCTCGAGGTCCAACATTCTGATGGAGATCAAGGATTTGAAGGAACTTAAGTGGCCTCCAAGATTGCGATCTCCACCCGATACTTGTGATAAGAGTAGGTACTATGATTTCCACAGAGTTCATGGACATACAATGGAAGATTGTTTTCACCTTAAAACGAGAGATTGAAACTCTTATAAAAAGGGAATTTTTGGGCTTTTACGTTAGCAATGACAAGCGCCCAATGAATAATCAGAATAGTGACAAGGGTCCAGAGGGTCGGGGAAACAAGCAACCAACTGCAGATACTATCAATATTATTGTCGGAGGAATAGCCTCGAGGAGAGATTCTAGTAGCAGGCGTAAACAATATGCCAGGCAGCCTCCAATCATCTCAAGATCGGATATCGGTTCTACAGAGAACATCACTTTTGGAGCATAGGACTTGGAAGGCATATCATTCCCTCATGATGATGCTCTGGTCATATCGGCCATCATCCTCAACTTTGAAGTAAAGACAATTCTGGTAGACAACGGAATTGCAGCTGATGTATTATCTCATGAAGCCTTTATTCAAATAGGGATCTCATCGGAACAACTTAGGCCAGTGAAAACGCCTCTCCAAGGGTTTGGAGGTGGGGTCATCACCCCGAAAGGTATCGTTGGGTTGCCTTTTCGAAGTTGTCCGTACTCCAATGGCCTACAACGCCATATTGGGAAGACCACCGCTTAACAGAATTTGAGCTATTGTCTTAACTTTCCACCTAGCTATGAAGTTTCCTACGAGTAATGGAATCGAGGTAGTTCGAGGCAGCCAAACAATAGCACGATGGTTTTATGTGACTAGCATTTGAAAAATCAAGAGTGACATCATGCAAGTTACAGAGCTCAAGCTCGAGCACGAAAATCACCGGAGACTGGCTCCGGTGGAAGGATTGGAAGAGATCGAGCTCGAGCCTGGCAGGAAAGTGACAATCAATCGGGGGCTAGATAGAGCAGTCACGTCTGAACTACTAAATTGTCTCTTCCGCAACATTGATGTATTCGTTTGAAATGTTAAGGACATGCCTAGAATTGACCCAGAGGTTGAGGTGCACAGATTGAATGTAAAATCGGAGGCAAGACCTGTAAAGCAAAGGAAAAACCAATTTACACCGGAAAGACGAGATGTCATAAAGGAAGAGATCGCTAAGCTTGCTAAGGTACAGCTCATTCGGGAAGTACAGTATCCTGATTGGCTTGCCAATGTAGTTCTTGTAAAAAAGGCTAACAAGAAGTGGCGAGTCTGTATTGACTTCACAGATCTGAATAAAGCATGTCCCAAGGACAGTTACCCTCTATCTCAAATTGACAATCTCGTGGACAACACGTCAGGTTATATGCTGTACAATTTCTGAGATGCCTTTTCGAGATATTACCAAATACTCATGGCAGAAGAAGACTAAGAGAAGACCTTATTCATGACAGACTCAGCCATCTATTGCTATAGGATCATGCCCTTTGGGCTGAAGAATGCTGGAGCAACGTATCAAAGATTGGTAAACAAGATCTTCGCCGAATTAATTGGGAAAACGGTCGAAGCATATGTGGATGATATGGTGGTTAAGAGCAAACAGGTGAATGGTCATGTCTCTGATCTTGAGGAAGTGTTTGCTACATTGAGGAAGCACAACATGAAGCTCAACCCTACAAAGTGTGCGTTTGGGGTGGCGTCTGGAAAGTTTTTGGATTTTATGATCATGCAGAGAGGAATAGAGGTAAACCACAATAAAATCCAAGCTCTAATGAGTATGGAGGCCCACAAGTGCAAAAGGGACATTCAGAAGTTGACAGGTCGCGTAGTAGCACTGAACATGTTTGTTTCCTGAGCAGCGGACCACTACTTAGGGAAAATAAAAGTTTTAACTGGAACGAGGAATGCAACTTAGCTTTTCAGGAGCTCAAGTAGACATTATCAACACCTCCAGTCCTTACCAAACCCGAACCCGGTGACATGTTGCTATTATACTTGGTCGTTTCTCAGAATGTAGTAAGTGAAGTCTTGGTAAAGGAGAAGAGTTCAACATTCTCTCTATTATGTAAGTAAAATACTCCTTGATGTAGAAACACAATACACACTTGCAGAACAGCTCGCACTCGCTTTGGTAATGGCTACCAGAAAGTTACGGTCGTACTTTCAGTCACATCCAATTTTTGTGCTCACTAACCAACCTTTTAGACACATATTCCAGAAGTCGGACGTCTCAGGAAGACTGTTGAAAGGGCAATTGAACTTGGCTAATTTGACATAGAGTTTAAGCCACGACCTGCAATCAAGGCTCAAGCTTTGTCTGACTTCTTAGTAGAGCTCACTCCAAGGCCCTCAAAAACACAAGCCAAAGACCCGAGCACGACTTGGAAAATATGGAAAATCTTTGTGGATAGAGCATCCAATAGCTCGGGCTCGAGGGTCGACGTCATCATCACCAGCCCGGACAAGGCTATAGAAATACAATGTGCGCTCATATTTGAATTTGAGGCCACCAACAACGAAGCAGAGTATGAAGCCGTTATCATAGCCTTGGAACTGGAAAAAAAATCTTGAGTTAGAGCATGTCAAAGTTTTCAATGACTCACAGCTAGTGGTCAGGCAAATATAGGGGTTTTTCGAAAGAAAGGACGAGAAGATGAGCTTATACTGCCTAGAAGTACATGACCTTCAAAGGCAGTTCATATGTTGTGAAATCCTGAAGGTGGCCAAAGTCGATAACACCAAAGCTGATGCATTATCCAGACTCATCTTCATGGGTGTGGAAGGGCTCGATAGAACCGTGCACGTCAAGATAGTTGTAGAACCCAGCATAGCTTAAAAGCCAAGTGTCAGGAACATTGACCATTAGCCTTCGTGGATGGATCCAATAGTTGATTACATAAGTAATGGCAACCTACCTGCAGACCCTCGGCTTGCTAAAATCATTCGGTATAGAGCTGCTAGATATTGTCTAATCGAAAGAGTCTTGTTTCGTAGAAGTTTCACACTTCTCTATCTAAGATGTCTCAAACCTTCCGAGTCTCTTCAAGCCTTGACTGAAGTTCATGAAGGCATTTGTATAATTCACCAAGGAGTCCGAGCTCTTGCATATAAGTTGATAAGGTATGGGTACTACTGGCCAAGTTTGAAGAAAGATGCTGCAGATTACATTCAGAAGTGTGACAAGTGCCAAAAATTTGGCAACATCATACATGCTCCCGCTGATGAGCTAATCTCTATTCATTACTCAGCTCTCTTCGAACAGTGGGGAGTCGACATTCTTGGACCGTTCCCCTTGGCCTGAGGACAATTAAAGTTTGTAGCTATGACGATAGAGTATTTCACAAAGTGGGTAGAGGCTGAACCACTAGCAACAATTTCAGAGCCGAAGCTCAGATCATTCATATGGAAGTCTATTATATGCAGGTTTGGAATACCAAAAGTCCTCATCACAGATAACGGAAGGCAATTCGATAATTCACAGTTCAGGAGCTTTTGTGCCAACCATGGAATTTATCATCGCTTAACCTCGGCATCATACCCACAAAGTAATGGGCTTGTCGAAGTAACTAATCAGATCATATTGCAGGACCTTCGAACAAGAATAGGAGATGCCAAAGGTGACTAGCCTAATGAACTGCCTTCTAGACTGTGGGCTTACAGGACTTCGCATAAGACAGCAACTAGTGACACACCCTTCATGCTCGCCTTTGGAATAGAGGCTACCATTCCAATCGAGGTCAACCTCCCCATAATAAGGAAGCTCGAGATGAATAGGGAGAGACAAACTACTGAACAGCTTGACTTGCTTGAAGAGGTAAGAGAGCAAGCCTCACTTAGGGCAGCAAATTATCAGAATAGAACGGCAATGTACTTCAACAACAAGATCCAGACGAGAAGGTTTAGAGCTGGCGATCTTGTCCTTAGAAAAGCGAAAGTTGCTAGACACCTACCAGGGAAGCTTGGACCAACATGGGAAGGACCCTTCGAGGTCTTAAGAAAACTAAAATGTGGAGCTTGCAACCTCAGGACACATCGGGGAAGCCGCTCCCAAGGCCATGGAACGCCAACAATTTAAAAGTTTATTACAAGTAACTAGCTATATCTATAAATTTTCCTTCAAGGCTTGCATGCCCACATTATGTTTGCTTTATTTCATTTTTAATTTTTGGGCTCTAACGCCCTCTAGCAGTTCATGCTCCAATAAGCTCGGGTATTAATGCCCTTGAGCTCTTTTAATGAAACGCGAATTTTTCTTTATGTTGTTACTTTCCTATAAATAAAATTAGCGTAAGGACGTTCCCCGCGCATGCAGCTGATGCCTAACTAAGTTAGCATAAGGCCATGCTCCGCGCATGTAGCTAACACCTAACCAAGTTAGCATAAGGCCATGCTCTGCACATGCAACTAACACATAACCAAGCTAGCATAAAGTAGTGCTCCGTGCATGCGGCCAACACTCGACCAATAGAACTAAATGTATGCTGCCAAGACCTTAAATGGCAACAGGTCGAGATCATTAGGCTCGACCTCTTTGATCCCAGAATGCCCTCATAGCAAAGAATATTAAGATTGAGGTCGGGTATGAAATAACGTTTACCATACAAGATCATACCCGATGTTATCCTTAAAGGGGCAAGCCCGAGCTTATCCTTTAAATCATCAGCGACCCAGTGGTCGTTCCTCAATGTGAGAAATTGAAAAATTAGTTTACAGTACACGACACTAATACTCGAACTCGTTGACCTCTTACAGGATGAAGCCTAACAATACATTTTCGAGCATTGAAATCGAAGCCCAATTTTCAAAGTACAAGGATCGATCTGATTCATAGTGTCGACGATTCGTATCATTAGGGTATACAATATCCTTGAGCTATCACACACTTAAGCCATATACGTCAACATTCGAGTTAATTATGTCGTGAAATATAATCTATACTAATAATTAATGTTTTAACGATCCATGCATGATCATAACATCTACACAAGAACTTAAAACTCATGCACGATCTTATAATGAAGGCAAGTCTCAACGATCAAACTAGTAATAAATAACCATCATACGCGATCTTGTATAAACAGAATAGAATAAACCAAGGTCGATCACATTTCCAAAAATAGGCAATAGGCCACATCGGGCAATGTACTTTACAAACAAAACTTCAAAACTCGGGGTCGGGGAACCTAATCTATGTCAACAACCTTGACATCGTCATGATCACCAGTCTCGGCCTCATCCCCATCACCATCATCATCGTCATCGTCATCATCATCATTGACCTCCAAGGCGGAGAGCTCGAGCTCGTTAGCTAGCTCATTCACTATCCTTAGCTCCTCCATGAGAGGCCTTAAGTCCTTGGGGAGCCTTGTTCGGAGAAAGGAGTGAGCAAGCCGTAAGCCATAATGACAGGAACCCGAGCCATACTGACCAAGGAGGGTCTCGAACTCTTTCGACTTCTTGAAGATCTCCACAGCTTAGGCTTCAGCTTCGTCACGGGCTCTCACCAGCTCCTCCTTGAAGCCCTTCTTGGACTCAAGAAGCTCGAGCTTTGCCTCGTCAGCTTCCCCCTTATGAACCTCGATCTCTTCTCGAGCCTTTTTAAGTTCAGACTTCGCTGCATCAAGAGCTTTCTCGAGGTCATTGGCTCGCCCGTCAGCTCGCTATTTTTCCTTCTCAAGCTTTTGCAGCTCGCTCGCAATATTGAGGCCATTCAAGGTAAGGCCTCGTGCTACGCTCAACGTCTGCATAAATAAAATCGACGTTAGTCCGATGAAAGAAATTCAAATAAAGGAAACACAATTGAGGTCGATATCTTACCCTCAAGGTCAGGACCTCCAATCTCTTAACGCCCTTATGAATGTTGACCTCTTTCTCAAATCGATCAACAAGATCATTTACGAGGGCGCACTCAGAATACTCCTCGAGGGCGCTATCAGAGATGGGAGAGAAGCCTGAGTCAACAACCCCCTAGCATTCCCGAGCTCGATCTTGTACCCTGGGTATTGGCTGAGGTGGTAGGGTCGGGGTCTTGGACATCGAGGACTGGCCCTTATGCAAGGTCGGGGTCACCTCCACCGGGGGTTCCCTCGCAGCGACCTCCCTTACCCTCTTCTTCCCCTTAGATGAAGCCAGGGCTTTAGGCTTTGGACCCTTGGCCTTGTGCTGGATGTTCGCGAGAAGGTTCGATGGGTTGAAAGACATTTCCAAATCTGCAAAAATAAATCACAAGACATTAGCTCGACCTTAACCTCAAGGATAATTGACGAGAATAAAAAAGATGAAAGGACGTACTCTCGATGCCTTTCACATTGGCAAGGCCGAGGGTGTCATCCTCGAGCAAGTAATCAATCTTCTCTGCCAAAGGATCATGGTTAACTAACCTTAACCTATCCCATTCTAATACCTCAAAATATGTCTGCCAAATCTATCTTTATTAGGTACCTCCCATTTTGGGTTAAAGGGGTGGTCAAGGTTTTGTGGTTTAACGAAAAAGAACCTCTCTTTCCAACCCCGAAGGGAGCTCGAGGTCTCTGGCATCCTAAACCCCCCTTAGTTGATAAATAGACAAAGCAGTTGTACCCCGGGGAGAATTTCAAATCAAAAACCATTCTTAAGAGGTCTAGTCTAGGCTCGACCTCGAGGTATCTACACAAAATGAAGAAGTAAACTAATAGTCTCCAATCGTTCGGAGCCAATTGGCCCTGGCACATGTAGTAAGAGGATAGAAAATCGATGAAAAAGGGATGAAGAGGCCACCAAAGCTTGACCTTAAAAGCATCCCTGAAACATGTCATCTCCCCTTCCCGAGCATCCAACACCGTTTCATTACGCCCCGGGCCCTGACATCACAGGTTGGCATGACACCGAACTCTCTGGCTATCTTAATAATAAAATGCTCTTTATATTTGGTCGGTTCCTTAGGATATGTCAAGCTGATGTCGCTATCGACATGAGAACTGATCGGGATGGCCAGGGGAATGAGGGATGCATCTACATCGACAAGCTTGTCACTATTGATCGAGACCTTAGATGGATGGCTACTATCACTATCACTCGACCCCGTACTACTACTGCTACTCGATGTTATACTGATTCAAAAAGTAACTTAAGAGCTCAAATTCTTACCTTTTCAGACGATTACTCACTAACTCACAATCCTCGAACTCGAGGCCAATTTCATTGAGAGTAAGTGAGTGTGAAAAGTGAAAATGAATGGTGAAAGTTGGAGTATTTATAGGAGACTGTAGAATACCAATGGTCTTTTAATCCCAACCCTCGGACCAAGACACATGGCACTCATCCAAGGTCGAGTTCTGACATTCCATCAGACGCGTGACACATGGAATGACACCCGGACATTTACACCTTTGCATCTTCACTTGTAGTTTTGACTTGGACCATAATCTACGACCTTGATGCACGGGGGCCTGTGATCATCCCACAATTACCTAATCTCGACCTCGACCACACTAACCCGATCTTGTCTCCCCTCAAAACTCCCAGTCTGAGGTCGGGGTACTTAGGTCGAGACTCTGTGTCATCATGAAAGGTCTTTTTAACGACCTATGGGAACACAAATTCTACCCAACCTACAATTCTTACCTAGCTACTCCCTTTTCGACTCAAACAATGGTTGAATAATTGGAATGAAACACTAACTCCTTATCCTACAAGGCTAAGGATCACACATGGCTAAGTCCTTCTAGGACTCTATTATTGGCACATATAAATACATAACCCCGGCTCATTCTTGAGGTACGTTTTTCATTATTTCCAATTTATAGCCTCACGCATTAAATTCCCTATCTGACTTGAGCATCGGAGGGATGACAACCACACACCTCGTTGCCTTTGTTGCAGATAATTTAAGACCGTTCGTGCTCATCAAAGTTCGAAGTTAGATCATCAAGTTCGAGATCTTTTAGATACTATTTTTTGGTAGCATCACATCCTATTATTTTATGGGGAATTTACACAAATGTCACTAAATATGAAAATGCACAAAAAATTTTGTCTTGCACAATTTTTTTGCAAAAATGTCACTTTGTCCCCACAAAATGTCCATATTACCCTTTGACATCTTTTTAGGAGCAATAAATGCTTGATTTGAATGCTATTAACGGTGTGATGTGATTATTTATTTATCTTTATTGTTAATATTGAAGAAATGAATATTATATTGTATAATATGAATTTTTGATTAAAAAAATGGGTGAAATGTGTACAAAGAGTACACACAACTAGGAGTTGAAATAGCTTCTTCTTCTTCTTCATCATCCCCCTTTCATTATCAACAAGGCATGAAGGAAAGCTATTGATTAATTTCAAAGGTGAGGTAGTAGAAAAGAAATTTTTGCATGCCATACTTAAGTACTTCAAATAATCAATAAAACATGGTCAGAATTAATTGTCCATATTTCATCTCTTATTCATTGGTTTTTTATTCTTGGTATATTTTAGAAAGGGAAGAGACCAATATTCTCAAGAAAATGTGAATCATTTCATATGTAATTCTATATTTAATGAAGTATTGAGTTATACTTTGTTTGTGTGTGGGGAGATCAGTTGAAGTTGAAGTTGTAGTTGAGAATTGATTATGACCATTAATGTGTTGCAATAAATTCCTGAAACAGTAAAACACATTTTTTTGTATGTTCCCTGAAACTTATGCCGCTCAAGTGTTGAGCAGTTTCGTAGAAACTGTCGGGTTAGCCATTTGAACTGTCGAAATCGACATTTAGTAACTGTCGGGATGGGCAGAGAATTCAATCGTCGATTTTGACACCTGAAAAGCTTTCTCTTTTTGGTACTACATGGATCAAAGTATTGTAATGAGCTAATTTGACTGTATTAAATCTTTCGACAAAAATGTGCAAAATTATGACTTTTGTACTCCCAACATTTCAGGTATGGCTCAGGATCTGAGATTCATCGTGTCGCATGGAGGGAACTTTGTTCACGTGGATGACGAATGGAAGTGGAGAGGGGACAAAACGACTTTCATTTTAGCGCCGAGAAACATTACCGTAACAGAACTTGTATTAAGATTGAAGGAGAAACTTGGTATTGTTGAACCCCGCAATGAATTTGAGTTGAAGTTCAAAGTCCCGAATTTGAATATACCTCCGACAGAGATACATGACGATGAGGACCTAAATTGGTACATTTCTATTTATAAGGAAACTGCACTCTGCGTCACTATTATGGAAATCGAGGTCCCCAGTGTTGACATGGAGAGGGAAGCAAACTGTGTAGAGAACCGGTTTGGCCTAACGGAATGTCCCCAGACTTTAAGAAATGGTGATGTCAATCATGAGCACAGTGGGTCGAACAACGAAGCACCCGCACATTCAATTGACCATATCGAGGCTGCAGCATCCGTTGAGCACTTAGAGAACCTGTTACATGGTACGAATGATGCTATTATTGCTGAAATTGACCAGCCAGTGTCATCACATTCCATGAGTTTAGGCACAGATGAGTGGATGACAGCCGTCGTTCTCATCGAAAAGCAAATATTCTTTAGCAAGAAACAATTGTACTCGAAGATTCGTGTGCTTGCTTTGCAAGAGAAGTTCAATTTCGGGTGAGCAGGTCAAGCATGAAAATGTTAACCGTTGTATGTGTGGATGATAATTGCAAGTGGATGCTACGTGCTTCTACTGTCAAGCAATCTGCAATCTTCATGATCCATAAATTCATCAACGTGCACACATGTTCCCTTGATTTTCGTCGTAACGCACATCGGCATGCCACTAGTTCTGTATTTGTCGAGCACATTTTAGGCAAACTGGATACTCCAGGTCGATCGTATGACCCTACCGCTATTGCACGTGATATGAAACGTGAGTTTGGTGTGAAAATCAGTTACAACAAAGCTTGTAGGGGAAAGCTTCATGCCTTAACTATGCTACACGGTACACCGGAAGCCAGTTTTCAGAAATTATCTTCATACTGCCACGTCGTAGGAGAGAGTAACCCGGGGACAGTAACCCACATAGAACTCGATTCTCAAAATAGATTTCATTATTTCTTCCTAACTTTCGGTGCAAGCATTCGTGGTTACACGCAGTACTTGAGACCCGTTATTTGTGTTGATGGCAGTCATCTGAAGGGTTCATACAAAGGGACACTTCTACTGGCAACTGCCCAAGATGGTAACAAACAGATATATCCGTTAGCATGGGGGATCGTGGATGCTGAAACCAATAAATCCTGGAAGTGGTTTATGTCCAACTTGAAAGAGCTTATAGGGGACTCCGAAGACCTCGTATTTGTTTTAGACAGAAAAAAGAGCATTGACAAAGCTATTACTCAGTTGTTTCCATTGTCTCACCATGGTTGTTGTATCTGGCATCTCGAAAAGAATCTCATATAGCGGTACAGCAACGCAAGTGTAGTACTTCTATTCAAACGAGCTGCTACGACATATCGGGTTGAGGACTTTGAAAGACTCATAGGATAGATCTGCAGGGTGAGCACAAGAGTGCACGAGTACTTAGAGCGTGCGGATTATTTATTTTGGTCCCGAGCACTATTTATTGGCCACCATTACAACATCATGGCGAACAACAACACTGAGTCTCTAAACTCCATGTTGAGAGAAGCCCGTTCTTCACCGATAACTTGCTTGGTCGAACACATTCGGAGTACTTTGCAGAAGTGGTTTTATGAACGTCAGAAAAATGCGACCGAATGCAGTACAGTATTGACGCCGAGGATGGAAAATGAGTTACGGATGACATTTGAAACTGGAACTAGGCTTCGAGCCCAATTGTTGACAAACAACTTAACTCAGGTTGGAATATCCAAAGATGTGGACATAGTTGACTTTTTCGAGGACACCTGCACGTGTCGTGAGTTCCAACTAAATCGTATGCCATGTACTCATGCAACTCGTGCTGCTTGCTTCAAAGGGAAGTCATTGTATGACCTTTGCTCCCCTTATTACACATCTGAATACTGGAGGGGTGCCTATAGCGAAGCTATATATCCCGTTGGACGTGAAGTGGACTGGGTTGTTCCCAGTTTAATTACATTTGCTCCTATTTTGCCACCACTCGTACGTCGCCCTCCAGGTAGACCACCGACCCGACGTAAGCATTCAAGACACGAGTCTGCAAGGTCGAGCAGGAAATGCACTCGTTGTGGTCGTCTTGGTCATAATCGGAGCACATGTTCGAACCCCAATGTATCACATGTTCCTTAAATGTTGTTAGTGCAATCGACGTTGTATGTTCAATGTTCCTTAGTGCCCTGCACCTTATGAAGTTATGTTATAAATAGGCAAATGGAATTGTAAATTGGGACGTTGTCCTTCTGTTTTTGGACTGCGCGCATCATGAACCCCATTTAAAACTTTTAAGTTCAATATCCATGAAAAATATTATAATTTGTAACATCGTCCACCACGGAGATAAATCAGCTCTAAATAAATAGCATTTCGTAACATCCACCAAACGTGGTGCAAAATATAGATGTAGGTTAATTTGTCGATCCCGACAGATAGAAATCTGTAATTCTCGACAGTTCGACTGGACTGGACTGGACTGACTATACACAAAATACACTACTCGAATTACGGCGAAGGGACACGTTCATGCAGACATTTTGGTTCTGTGTTAACCAACTGCATCCCTACAAAAGAGTGGACTGTACACTACTTATTCACTACACTCCACGGCCGGCATTTCACTCGTCGTCGAAAATCGAACTTGCTCCCTACTGTCTTCACCTGACTTGTTAGATGAGATGATAATGACCTCGTTCTCTGGGATGTATGCCAGCCCATCGTCGTCCTCGAAATCCCCCTCGTAGGCAGCATCGACCGAGAGCACAGCATCAAGCACATCATTCTGTGACAAACCATCGTCACTCCCAACATCTTCCAAGTTCGGGAAGGGAACAGGGGAAATGGCTTTCCTACCCATACGAAGCTCAATTTCGTCATCGTCTGACGAAATGTAGATTGGAAATAACGGAGAGGAACCGAGAACCGGTATCGGCTCATCCATGTTGAACGGTTCGGTGCATCCTGTGGACGAACTCATTATGCTTATGTAGTAAAGTATTGTTGAAACAAAATCTATCTTTGAGAGTCACAAATTCTGACAATGCTATTCCACTAAGCTGTCTAGGAGTGAGAACAATGTGACATTGTATTTATAAGCAACTTGAAGAGGAAATGCAATTATGGTTATCATCTACCCAACCACCAAGTCCAATCTCCTTGTTAACTTGAAAAGCAATTGGTGTGATGGTTCAATAAATTTATAGTACCGTTATTCGCCATTTCCCCATAATTAGTAGGACATTTAATACTCTTTATTATCTTTGTATAATTCAGTACATATACATTCCTGCACCTGAAATGCCTCTATGCAAAGTATTCCCAGCAATTGTGGCATCGTTGTAATTGTAGTGCTTCAAAAAAAATGGGATTACATTATATTCACACACGTGGTATACCGAGTACAGTTCTTATGAAATATTTTGAAAAGTAGTTGGAAGTTTCTATAGATGCTTGAGAACAATGCCAATTTAACAACGATGTCAACATTGAGCATACAAGAGAAGAAATACTGCAGTTATTATCAAAATAAAAATTTTAATCACTATAATGTCCATCTTCTTCTACAGTAGAGTGCAGTTTAGTTGCCCTTTTACATGGGTGGACTTTCTTGGTGTCATCTAATTGATGTTCTTACCTGAAAACAAGGAGTACTTTAACGAGAATGCAAAGATCATTTTCTAAAGTTCGGAAAAACGCTTATCATGTCAATTTAGGTTCCGACTGTTCACGTAATATAAGACATAAACAAGGTATCCGGCTTGCAACAGTAGAACCAAATGTCATGAAAAATGGATACAGACTATGTCATAACTAACAACAAAGCAAAATGTGGGACGCTTGTCAAAATTCCAACGCACATGTCAAGTGAAAAAGTAAAGCGTCAATGTTAGAATAAACGTAAAAGCAAGTGATTAATTGTTCAAGTCTACTATGTTCACCATCTGCACGCCTCGACAGGTCAGCGAAAACCAAAAACAACCCCATCGTCCTGCCATCCCGCCACTTCATTCACAATTACTTCTTCAATGTCTTTCCCCTCCCCCTCGTGTACGGAGTCCTCGTGGCAGGAGCGGGACGTCGTAGCCGGACGGAGCGTCGTCTCGTCGTAGAAACTCGACCTCCTCCTTCTGGTACAGGCGCAGGAACAGTTACGTCAGCAGCGGGAACAGGTACGGTAGCGACAATACCTACATAACAATGGAAGGGGCCCAGTGAGTTACCGTCAATGACATTCACTAACCATACGTATTATACGCAGTAGTAACGCATGCAATGAACTTACCTTCACCATCTGTGACGTTGCAACCATCAATCTCTGCATCGCTGACCGCGGCCGGGTCTGAGGGCTTTGTGGCAGCTCCGTCTTATTAACAGAACATACGTAAATGCATAGCATTCGACGAAACATTAGGAAGCAAATGCAATGACATGAAATTGCTAAAAGTGCTTGTAATGGACGCAGTACCTTCCTGATCGTCAATTGGAGTGGGCAACGGCTCGTGCTCGGCGTCCGGGCATGGTGCAATGTCAGCTCCCTCTATTGACAACAACAGTAAAATAATGTGAGCGCATTTGTTATGTCATGTTTCGCAACATGTGTACTCGATGAAGTAATATATTTCGAATTGTGCATGAAATACCCACATACCTGGCAAGTCTTCAGTTCCGACAAACAGCTCCCCCTCATCCGTGCATGGAGGTCTGTATGCTCCGACTGTGGAAAGCAACAGTGACGTCTTGAGAGCACATTACATCTCCCAACTCAAGCATCGTACAACGTCCAGGCAGTAACATGTGTAGAATCGCTCATTAATAATGCACGTACCTTGAGGCCGTGAACGTCCTGTGTCAACTCCCAATTCAATTGGCGTGGGCAATGGGTCTATGCCTCGTCCATGTACGCCTACATCCCAATTGTAACAAGAAAAAATCGAATAACCTTGTGGTCAATTTCAAAAAATATAACCGAATAGCACATGTTTGATTCATACCTTGTGGGGAACAACCTGAAGGACCGGGCTCGAAAATGGCGCTCGTTGAGCGCGGAGCGGTGGCAGGGGAATGTGGGGCCACCTGGGCAGCAATGAACTCACGGAGTCTTGTACATTCAAATGTCACGTGCTGTTCAATTTCAAGCTTCACAATCCGGAGTCCCATCTCGAAGAGGATTCTTTGGTCGAGTAGCAGCTCCTCGACTTCCCCTTTCGTTAAGATGGAAGCAGATGTTCGAACTGGTAGTGAGTTTGTCGTAAGCCCTTGCTCTGGTGAACAAATCGGTGCCCTTGAGGGGTGGAAGAGTCACCGATATCCTCACTGTCGTCGCCTTTGCTATCACTTCCCGACTCCCTATCGCTCTCATCATCTCCAGAAGTCTCCCCGTCACCACTTCGTCTATTACGAACTTTGTCCTCCAAATCTTGACCTCCCGACTGCCCACCAACTCCACTTTCGGCGTGTAACGAATGAATCTGTGGTGCAACCACAGTCCTCACAATGTCATCAAGCACGGGCACCGGGGGATCGTCGTACGGCACGAGAGAGAACAGATATGGCTGCTCAGCCTCTGCATCGGTGGGCCGGAGAGTTGCGTACACATGTAGCTGCGAAATGAGGTTTAGATAATCACATTAAAACGTGCCAGATAGTAACAAGATGGTAAAGGAAAAACAAAGACTTGTCGAAATTGTACCTGTACATTCTTGAAAAATGCATCGTATGTACGATGTTGTGGCTGCTTTCGAGCAGACCAGCGAAGAATTCGTGGTAGTCGTTCACCGACTCGCTGACCAAAGAGTTCCCCAATCTTCGAAATCGCCTCGAACGCCCAAACCTGTTACAGCAACAGAAACACATTAAAATTACAGAGATTATATGTGCAATGCTACCGGAGGGGTAAATCATGCATGCTATGCTAATGTTACGAAGTGTGCGTACTTGCATGGCGATGGGGAAGCCATGAACCGTGCATGTAATCTCTTTCTCCTTCTTCCTCTTGGCCTTTTCGAATTTTCTTCCAAATCTACCCCGAAACCCGTGCAACAATCGTTTATATCCAACTCTACCCCAAGGGTAGGAAAAAAAGAAGTCCAGGTCGTCCACCATTGATAAAAATGGCAAATGGATACCGACGTTATTATTCGGAGCATTGAATACTCCCTCGACAATTAGAACCAGCCCTAGCTTGTAGCGATCAGCACGGGTCGTCGATGGTCGGGCAACAGTAGACTGTAGTTGTGCCAATGATACCTTGTCATTGGACTTAAAGTACCTCTCTTTCAACCTTTTCCTCTCAATCAATCGATCAAAATCGTCCCCCTTGGGGAAAACACCGCATCTTAACCCCGTCACAGCAGCGTACTCTTGTAGACCGAATCTCATCAGGTGGCCTTGCACATTGAACCAAAGCTCGTTCACATTTTTTGTGCGGATTGTTCTAAATAGTAGCTGTAGGATTAGCTGGGCAGAGAATTGAATGTCTGGAATATCAGCCAGATACCCGAGGGGGGAGTTACGGAAGTCCTCACGTTGTCGCTCGTCAAAATGGTCCATCACAGTCTTAACATACTTGAGGTTGCTGCGTTGGGAAATGTGGGCCCGCAACCGTGCGTCTTCTGAAATCAGGAATTCAAACTCCATATGCCCTGCAAGGTGCGTTGACAAAACCCTTGGGATTAGATTATAAACATAAACAATATTGTATAATGTCTAACGCTATAAGGATTCAACATCATGGATACGGTGATCTGTCGAGAACTACAGAGATCATACGTTGGTATCGACAGATTGTCTATGGACATCTGTCGATACCGACGGTTGATGTTGAAATACGAATGATAGGCTAACTGTCGAGAAAAACAGAGAGTCAAGTGTCGGGGTCGACAGTTCACTAGGAGTTGCTATGCGTGCTGCGGGGTGCAAGTTGAACATATTAGGCAGTGCCACATACAAGTATGTTTCAGAAGTAATAACGGAGGATGTGTGAAGGCAGACATGCATGCTAGGATTCGTAGCCATTCTAGTTACCGTACTTCTTATTAAATATAGGAAACAAATTTATGTACGTGAGTCTGAATGGAGAGTCAATATGAGACGGTGAAGGACATGTATGCAAGTGACTTGAACGAAACAATTTTATA